TTTCCGAATTTCTTTTCAGGTGATTTTGCTAATTTCCATCTCACCCACCTGTACATCAATGGTTTTATACACTTTACATTTTCAGCATATTGGTAAAGTATTTGACATTACGACTTTATTTTTGCTAAATACTTTACAGTATGTCTTTTAAAAGTTGTCTTATTTTATTTGGGTGACCTTTCTCTATTTTTTATCATTTGCCCTAATATAAATAATATTTAAATTATGTAAGTACTAGCAGCATAACCCGTCTTGGATCGGGTCTTTCATTACTGGGAATTTTTGCCGTTCAATTGGAGCAGTTTAAGTTTAAAGTTCAGCCCAACCGAAAATCAATATTAGTAACAACATTTGGGTGCAACTGAGGCACATCCCCAAATAGAAGGTTAACAATTTGAATGGGGGGCTGAAAAGGGCCGTTTTTTGTGTTCTCTTGCAGGGAAGGTACCTCTCCCATGGACCGTCATAATAATAATATACGATAATTTTTATTTATAATAGAATTTTTTTTAATAATTCTAATAATCTTTTGCGTTAGATTTCAACTCTCTAAATTGATTGTACGCTGTTTTTTTTTTTTTTTTTTTACAGACATTAAATTTTGCCTTTGATTTTTGCGCAAAGTGTAAAAAAAAAAAAACAACAAAAAAACAGTTTTTTCAATTTTTCACCTTCAAGGTTGTAATTTTTACCAGCCAATTTGGACTCATAACTGGCGATGAAGAATTATCTATCAAAGAAAAAAAATAATTTAATCGAAATTGGATGAAAACTGTGGAAACGTATAAACAACATCCGACTCCACACACACACACACAGACACCCACTGATACATGCACACATAGAGACACACACACACACACACACACACATTGAGAATTATAGATGTATAATACGGGATAAATTGATGTATTATATATTTTTTAAATAACAGGAATTTACAAATTTAATAGTTTTCTTTTAATTTTTTTCACATATTTATAGTTAAGTATGTTGGTGTGTGATGGGAGTAATTCTTTCAGGAACGGAGATAACTGAAAAGGTCCAGGACGCAGATTTATATTTTGATAAGAAGTGAAGCATTGTGGTTGAATTTATTTCTATATATGTCGCTTCCCCCCGTCTTTTCTACAAATACTTCCATGGTAACTGCTCCGACGAGTTACTTTCGCTAGTTCTCAAACTGAATGAATTTAAACGTGCTACTAGGTTGGCATCTCAGTCCCACCCTTTCACTGTCGAAACGGTTAAATGTCGCCGTCTCTTCTACTCCAATAGTTTCATGTCTCGCACTTCTCGCCTGTGGAACTCCCCTCCTTTTACTTACTTCCCTGATATCTATAATCTCCAAATATTCAAATGTAATATCAATCGACATCTCCATACTTCTCTTCATCCTTTCCTCTATCACATCTCTTTACTCTTGCTCCCACACTCTCTAAACCCTTGATTGCAAGTCGCATTCCCGCCTTGCTTGGGGTGAAATGCTTAAACACACACAAAAAAAATTACTAATACATTTGATAAATTGCTGTGTGTAAGATCCTTTTTGTGGTCATAAATACGTTTTCTTTACAAATTTCTTCAAGTTTCTCCAATGTATTGTGAAGAGCAGTTGTAACAATTTATTTTATATTCACAATTATTATTGTGATGGTTATTTTTAGTTCTAATCATATCCATGATCGTTTGGAAGTGGTTGTAATTATTTTAATATTGTTAAGATTGGATAAATTGTTTTGGATAGTAGATGGTAAGGAGTTAGTGGGTAGTATTATATGTCTGTTTTTATCGAGTTCATTGTTATTGTTGTTCATAATGCTATTATTTTTTTGTGGTTGTATATTTTGTATGCATTTCTCTTAGCACTGTGGATGAAATAATAAAGATATTAGAGGTTTTTGAATGTTTTCTATATATGTTTCTTCTTCAGATAAATAATAGGGGCTGCAGATTCCCAGTGCTCTTAAATTAGAATTATTCCAGATTTTATCATGTTACAGTGGTAGCAATAGAAATTGATAAGATCATTCTTGTTGGCAGATTTTCTGTAAACCTCCAACTGAAAGATGTTTTTAATTATGAGCATCTCTTATATTTAAAAATTTTGAAAATCTAACAGCATTTATACCGGGTCTTACAATCAAGACATTTTTTTTTACAATGATGTTCAATCTGTGCAAGACACAAGAGCCAGTCGAGGTAGATGGTTACAGATTCAGAAGCACAGTTTATGCGTATATGTGGGGAATTTTCTTTCAAATAGCTTTTATTTTCCCAGGTACTTTCAATCTCACCTAAGACCATCTTCAGGGGGTTAAATTATCTGTGAATATGTACATGCATTTACGTAAATTCAAAACATTTTAACTGTTCATTTTATTGTGTTTGGGAAAATAAAAACTATTTGAAAGAAAATTTTGATATTTTTCTTAATCAATTTTCGAAGGCTACCAAGAAATTAATCCATGAACTTGAAAGAATTACAACCAAAATAAATCAACATGATATGTCTAAATTATTTAGCCAAACCTGGTTGAATGAAAATATACTGCTAAAATACACACCCACAGAGATTTTTTATATATATATAAATCGACTCTCCAGGCCGATAAGTTTCCAGGAAACCGACATCCCGACATCGGCACATGAGATTTGATTATAGTGGTGAAGGCTCGTGCAGGACCATCCACACTTTTTGAAGGAATGAAATACAGAAACCTGGTGCACCGAAAATACAAGGTTCCCAAACGACCTCCGTAGGTTTTAATTAGAGTTGTCCTTCTCCTAGACCAGTTGCCATCCAAGGCTATAGAACCCAGTCTGTCCTGCTATTTTACCCATAGCTGGAGGGAAATGAAGAGGATTCATAATCAGGGTATTAGCACGTAAGTGAATGTAATGGATTCGACTGGAATTAAGGCACGGTGGAGTAATGGATAGCGTTTGATTGAGGAATCTGTGAGCCAGTTCGAATATATATATATATATATATATATATATATATATCTGGAAAAAATAGTCATATATCAGGTATAGACCATTTGTTGAGGTGTTTGTTTTCATCTTTTGTAACCTTGTGAACTTGCAATGGGGCTTTCCAAGTTTTTGGTGGCCATTGATGCAAAACAAGACTGAAGATGCAACATGGGGCTGTCCTTGCCCAGTTGGTGGAAAGCTGGTTGCATTGGTACTTAGCATTCCACTGGATCATCATTTTGGTGATGCAGAATAGGAGACACCCACTGCCTGAGTAACAGTGTGTTTCTCATATTTAACTACCCAGGCCTTGTGCACTGAAGAGATGGGAAATGGGAAAAGCCATAATGAACACTGTGTCTGAAACATTATCTAGAACGCAAAATCTATAGTCTTCAGAGACTGACGGATACCTTATATCCTCATTTTAGTGATATATCCACCCAATTTCTAATAAATTAAAAATATACAGAAAAATATATAAAAAAAAAAACAAACACAAATGTTTTTCTTGAATATTGTTTTTCTGAACTTGGCACATTCTACAAGAATGGTGAAAATATACAATATAGATATAAATATATCTCTTTAAAAAGTAATGGCAAAAAATAAAAAATAGCCATATTCCATAAAACAAAAAATTAAAAGTAAGGACGTTTTTTTGTGGGAATCAGGATATGCAAAAGGAATACAATTTATGTAGAGTTCTTTTTCTTGAATAGTGAAAGATTAACAACAATGGACAGAATTGTAATTTTTCTTCTAAAAGAGATTCAATGTTTAGATGTGCATCACACGCACTTGTTTTTTTTTAAATACAAGGTCAGTCAAAAGTTGTGCACCAAATAAATTATCAGAACTGACCTACTTAATTTTGCCTAAACTTTATAACTCATGTGTAAATTGTGGTAGAAACATTTACCACATTCCTAAGAATTACTTTTTAACCAATGCAAGATATTGTGGTGAGAACATTTACCACATTTCTAAGAATTACATTCTTTTTTACAAATGCACACAGAGATATAAAACTTGGATAAAAATATTATAACAGTTCCATAATATAAATATTTGCCTGACATTTTGTGAAGAATTATTAATAATAGTTAATTTTTTCTTTTAACCTGTTTCTTTAATTCAACGATTTTTTTTTTTTTTTTACAGTGCTGTGGTCATGTTCTGCTTTGTGTGATTGGCATATCTTATTGCAACAAATAAAGTTATGAATAAATAAAATGCATTTTTAAGAGTAGAGAATTAAAATTAAAAATTAAACCAGAGTAAAATAACTTTTTTCTAACGCAAATGCCCTTGATGAAGGCTGGGAAATAAATTGACCAAGATGTTAAAACCTTTAACTGGCAACCTATAATAATGTACTAAGTTTTAAGTTAGTCATAATTTGGTAACACTAAATTAAAACACAATTTGTACTTATTAAAGTTCAGGTTAGGGCAGCTATGATAAAGAGAACTGCACTGCACCAAAACAGAATTTACTTACTTTGAAAATTCAAAGACTCAAAATCCTGGATTATTTTGAATATTTTAATATTCATTCTGCTGAATGAAGCAATGGCACAAAAAAATATTTTGAAGCCATTTTATTCTGAAAAAATTCTGGAATCTTTCAGAATTTTTGTTTTTTGTTAACAAAAAGAGTTTCATGAACTGAAACAACATTAAATAAAGGAAGGAAAAGCAATTTTCTTTCAGTATTTTTTTTGTCTGCATATTATTTCGGTGCACAACTTTTTAAATAATTAAAAAAAAAAAAAAAAAAAAAAACGAAAAAAAAAAAGAAAAAAACGAAAAAAAAACCAAAAAAAACAATCTTTACAATTTACATCTTTTTTTTTTTTTTTCATACTTCTTCCCATTTTCCATATCTTTACCTTGAGTCAGGTGAGACGTGACAATCTTCCACAGTAGCTCAAATTTATTTAGTGACAGATAATGTAGGATATGTTTGAGTTTTTGCCATCTTTACCAACCAGACATGTCTATGTTTGCAATAGTTCATCACTTGGACTGAATGATGGGACACACCTCCAGCCAAGAATCGAGTTTGAGATAATGAGCCACAAACACTGTGAACACCTGCTTGAAATTTGCTATCGACCTTTTGTCAAGGTTATTTTCTGTATCTGACGGCTGATGCCAGACACTGGGAAATGGATAGCAGATGAGATGCAACACATTCACACCTGAAATAGAGAGAAAAAAAATAATAGTTCAATATCATGAATCATCATCAAGTGATACCAAATCATAATCAGACAGCAGTGAAGGAAAGCATGAAGAAAGGACTATACATCAATTGCAAGAAGACAGAATGCATAGGTGTTTGTAAAAGGAAATACATAACATACAAATAAGATATACCAAAATTAAATGAGTACAATATTTTAAATATCTGGGAAGTGTTTTAACAGAGGACAGAAAGGGTGACACTGAAATCCAAAGGTGCATTGGGATAGAGAAAGACACCTTTCAAAAGCTAAGCAAAATACTAAGGAACAGGAAAATTTCAACAGAAACAAAGTAAAGAGTACTGAGCTGTTATGTAATATCAGTCCTCCTATATGGCAATGAATGCTGGACAATCTCCTCACAGATGAAGAAGAGACTTGAAGCAACAGAAATATCGTTCCATAGAAGTATGCTGAAGATACCATGGACTGAATATCTGAGCAATGACAAAAATTTTGAGAAAATGGAAACAAAAAGGACACTTATGCATAAAATCAGAAAGCAGCAGCTGAAGTTTCTAGAGCACATAATAAGGAAAGTGGGCTTGGAAAATTTGATATTCACAGGAGATACTGAAAACAAGAGAGGCAGAGGAAAGCAATGCGTAACCTACCTAGAGAGCTTGAGGAAATGGGAGATAACAAAAAGACAAAATTTATTAAGAGCTACAAAGCAGAAGAAATTGCAGAGAATCATGATTGCCAATAAGGGACATGGCGCATAGAAGAAGAATATTTTGCCTAAAAAAACCATGTAGATCATTTTGATGGAACCAGTATTGGTGGAGTTGATTTGGAATTATTAATTTCTGACAAGAAGTTGATCCATGTTCCTTTTACTTGCTTTTCATTGCAACTTCTCAGATCTATGGCGATTAGTAAACAAGTATTAATATTCTCTTGAATTTTACTATTATTAGATGAAGCATTGTCAGCCATTATTAATTTTTCACTAGTATTTCTTTCATTCTAATTTTACTTGCTTTTCATTGCAACTTTTCAGACCATCAGTCTATGGCAATTAGTAAACAAGTAGTAATAATAATCCAAATTTTATTATTATTAGATGAAGTTGCACAACCATTATTAATTTTTTTCACTAGTATTTCTTTCATTCTAATTTTACTTGCTTTTCATTGCAACTTTTCAGACCATCAGTCTATGGCAATTAGTAAACAAGTAGTAATAATCGCTTGAATTTTATTATTATTAGATGAAGCATTGTCAACCATTATTAATTTTTCACTAGTATACTTCTTTCATCTGAATTTTGCTTTGCTTTTCCTCAGGCCATCCTTCTAGGGTGATTAGTAAACAAGTAGTAATATTCTTCTGAATGTTTATTATTATTCATCATCATCCTTCAACCTCCCTATGGTTGGTCGGAACTCCATTGATATTTCCCTTTCCACACTGTTTGGTCTTGTACTGCTGTCCTCAGATCCCCAATATCCAACCCTAAGTCCTGAGCTATGGTGTCTGGGAAAGTCAATTTTCATGAGAAGATACTTCCAGAAGGATGCCATCACAGTAAGGACAAGACGATTTCCCTGTCCACTCACTGGTTATAGCTGGCAAACTCTAATTGGTTTTGTGTGAGATTAAGACAGATTGGTCTTCCATAAATTGTGTTAAGCATTGTATGGGATCTCCCACTGATGTTCTGGATTTCTCTAAGTAGATTTGTATTTGTTCCATCCAGTTGTCTTTGAAGACAAACAGATAATGTCCAAGTTTCTCATCCATACAAGTGGACTGGTTCAATCAATGTTCAAAAAGTTTGGATTTTTATGGAGGTCGGAAGGTTTGAGTGCTAAATATTGTGAAGTTTGTTATATACAAAAAAAAAAAAAAAAATTTATTATTAGATGTAGTATTGTCGATTATTATTAATTTTTGACATGGATTTCTTTCATCTGAATTTGAATTTTCCTCCAATCTCAGAATTACTTTTTAACCAATGCAAGATATTGTGGTGAGAATATTTACCACATTCCTAAGAATTACATTCTTTTTTACAAATGCACACAAGAGATATAAAACTTGGATAAAAATATTATAACAGTTCCATAATATAAATATTTGCCTGACATTTTGTGAAGAATTATTAATAAGAGTTAATTTTTTTTTTTAACCTGTTTCTTTAATTCAACAATTTTTTTTTTTTTTTTTTTTTTTTAGTGTTGTGGTCATGTTCTGCTTTGTATGATTGGCATATCTTATTGCAACAAATAAAGTTATGAATAAATAAAATGCATTTTTAAGGAGGTCGGAGGTAATATTACTACTTATTTATAGTTGGACTAATATCCTCATCTTTCTTGTTATGATCACAGTTTTGGCACTTTTACCTTCCTGTTTTCTTCAGATTTAATCAATGCAGGTAAGCATCAACGAATTTTAAACTGAACAATTTATTCCTTCTTCAGGGTGGATTGCTCTGATACCACTGTCCAAGTATAGGAATATATTGTCTTGCTTAATTGTTCAGTTACTGCTTATCCTGTTTCCCCTGAGTTTGATTATATCCATACTGCCCTGCACAGGGATTGAACTCTCAATTATCATGTCATAAAATTCACTAACCAACATTTTAAGCTTCTAGGCCAGAGGTTGTCAAATGAGCAAACCCCTAGGGGATGGTGATGTGTTTCAGGGTGTTGATGATAGTCAAGGGGTTGAATGGGGGTTTGTGTGTGAACAACTTGCACAACAATACCAGGCCAACCCAATTTATCTGTGCTAAAATCGGACTTTGAAAACACTAAATGAAAATAGCCACTTTACAAGTTGTGTAATTAAAAAAGATAGATTTCAGAGTTGGATAAATTGTTGTGAGAATCTCTTAACATCTGCAAATTTGAACTGTCGTGCAATTTAGGAAAAAGTGCATCAAGAGGTGAAAGAGGAAATTGTGACTGCTGTAGTGAACAGGAGACAGGTGTTGTTGGATTGTTTTACTTACACAACTCTAAAGGTTAAAGGAAATGGATTAGGGAAATTTATTACAAGCCAGAAGACACTGACTACAGTATTTTCTACTTGAGATAGATTTAATATATTAACTATTGTATGGATTTCTATATCCAAGGCATTTTTATGACGTATATTGACTGCCTCTAATAATATCTTTTAAAGAAGTGTCAAACCCTTAAAAAGACTCTGTTC